ATTGTTAGCCAGGCATGGGTGAAAGGTCAATATAATAAATATATATAAATGTATAATGTTACGAGATTTAAGCTATTTCGTCAAAACATTTATGTTTATTTCCTAATTTTTTTATGGTGGTTGAGAGATTGGTCAAATTTACCAAACTTGTACAAAGGTTAATTACTGAAAATAACAGATAAAATATAAAGTTTTTTCTTAAAAAATGTTTGATAATTATCCGGACATTATAATTATAAAGATTTTGCATGTGAAATTTCAAAATTTTCTTATCCATGAAAGTATTTTTAATCTTAAAATGAATATTACTTTGCCTGATAGATAGACAAGATGTGAAAAAAAAGAAACATTGCTTTACAAACCTTAAGACTTAAAAATAAAAAAGATTTTGTGTATGAAAGCATTGTAGTGTTTACTGATAAATTGCCAAATTTCGTTAACATTCGCTTACTAATTTAAAAGTTATAGCATGAAAACTATTACAAGCACAAAATGATTACGAGGTCGGTCCTGGGGACCGAGCCCGAGTTGAAAGAGGTAATCGTTTATATACTAGCGGTGGGTTTCTCGTGGGTTCTAGAACGATTGATAAGACTCTCACGTCATGATTGGTCTAGAGAAATCTATAGCCAGTGGTTGTCAAGATATTAAGCATAACAAAATGTGACCCGCTTTCAATGAAAATGATTCACTTATGTAAAAGTACATACGACGTTTTGTGAAAAATGGATATCATTTTCAGATTCAGTGTACAGGAATTACTGTAGAACGTGTAAACATTTCAAGACAATAAAACCATCACAGGCCTGTGTAATAGACCAATAAGGGATGCTCATCTCTAAGTATAGCAAATTCTTACCTCTCTCTTCGCTCCCATGGTCGATCATCTGGTAAACTGTTCAATCCTGGTGATGTAAGTTTGTCACAGAATGCAGTCTGGCATTCACAACTAGCAAAATCAACCTATCAAGAAGAGCCAACATTAATATGATAAGGTTTCTCTTGATAAAAAAAGAAAATTAATAACGTTGATTAACTATAAGAATTTTATGTATGTCATGTATAATACAGAGCTAAACTACCCATATGATTGTGTCAACTCACTGTCAAGGAAACAAACAAATAAGAAATTATAAAATGGCATAACATTATCAAGGTTTTGATAAAGAAATAACGTGAAGAATTTTCAAGTGTAAAGGTGAAAGAATTTATGACAACACAATTAAACTGTAGTGTTTCATGATTAAGCAGTCAATGGGAAGAGTAATTCTATTTATATATGTGAAGCAGAAAGAAACTTTAAAATCTGATTTAAAGAATATACACATTTTAATAGCTGTGGCAAATATATGACAACAGAAACTGCCAAAATCATAAATCACTAAAATGACCCTATGACTAGAAAAATCGAAGAAGCCTCAATAATAAGATATTAGGGTACTGAAAGTTAACATACATTTTCTGTCCCTTTAGATAATATGCAAAACGTCCAGTTCAGTACACTTGAAGTTAGTCTTACTCTAGAATGTTGTTCAAGAGAGTTACTAACTTTCTCTTGGCTTTAGTTATTCACAGCATTGGCCGAGTCATCAAAGACATTATGGTGTTCACATTATGTTAGAGAAAGATTACTCTAAAATGTGATACGCTATAGACAGTGACATTTATCACTAAATTAATTCATAAACATAATAACACTGTTAAAAACACTTAACCCATTCACTGCAGCTGGGATGTATATTTCACAGTGCTCCCACCCCCTCACACAATTGAGATCAAGTCGATTCAAAGTTTATCGCCAGTTTTAGGTCAAATGACTGAAAACTGATGACGAACTTTGTGACTTGACTTGATCCCAGTCGCAGTGTGAGGGGGCAAGAGCATTGGGAAATATACGTCCCAGATGCAGTGAATGGGTTAAAGAATAGATAGAATTTGTTTATTATAGCTATTACAAGGCTAAACTATTATTATAAAATAATGTCAATCTACCCCTCCCTAATTCATTGTTATAAAAATTTGGCATCTGATAATCAGTCATATGACCAAGAAATGTAAATGATCAGTATTCAGCCTTTACTACATAGATCTCAAACAGTCATATCTCAATCATCATTCTGAAGTGTAACACAGAGTTTAAAATACTCCAAGTTGTTCACTAACCATGGCTATAGAGCCTTTACTACATAGAGTGGTCTCATAAAGTCATATCTCAGTCATCATTTTGAAGCGTAACACGGAGTTTAAAGTACTATAAGTTGTTCACTAACCATGGCTATTGAGCCTTTACTACATAGAGTGGTCTCATACAGTCA